CAGCAGTACAGGTGCAGCATAATTCTCTGAGGGAATAGAGTGGACATTATTGAATATATGCCATTTAATCCTATAATGCACCAAGCTCCAGATCTAAAAGCTCCATTCATCTTCACCATAGAGGACTCCAGATTAGTTAAAAATAAAAAACCTTTAAAGACACCCCTGTGGTGAAAATCAAGCTTTTAATGTTGTTTACTATATCTGTTGTTTTAACATGCTTAAAAACAAGCCAACAGTTGCAGATTGTTTTCTCCTTCTATCAAAGACAATCTCATGAATGCAGTTTGAAACATCACAGTTTCCATAGCAACAATTACCACAACTGATTAATTCAAGTACTTTACTATAGTATGATTCAAAATTATATAGTATTTACAATATTAAGTAGGGATTTCCAAATTTACTTTGACTTGTATTTCATTGCAGACAATATTAACACAAAATATTTATATTTTATTATTTTTTTTTTTTTTTGTAAATATACATTCTTTACTCTCATTCAGACCTGCAACACATTCCAAAGAAAGTTGGGACAGGAACAATTTAGGGCTAGTAATCAGGTAAATTGGTTAAATAATGATGTGATTTGAAATAGGTGACGTCAACAGGTGATTGTAGTTATGATTTGGTACAAAAGCAGCATCCGAAAAAGGTCTAGTCTTTTAGGAGCAAAGATGAGCAGGTGATCGCCTGTTTGCCAACAAATATGTAAGAAAATGATTGAAATGTTTAAAAGTAATGTAAACATTTATATATTTCACCTTCAACAGAGCATATCACACTTAAAAGAGGAATTTCAGTGCATAAAGAAAAAGGGCACAAGCCTGAGCTGAACATCCGTGATCTCCGATCCCTCAGGCAGCACTGCATCAAGAGTTGTCATTCATCTATAAGTGATATCACCACATGGACTCAGGACTACTTTGAAAAACCTGTCAATTACCATAATACATAGTTACATCCACAAATGCCAGTTAAATCTGTACTGTGCCAAAAGGAAGCCCTATGTTAACAGTGTCCAGAAGCACCATCGACTTCTCTGGGCTTGGAGACAACTGAGATGGACCATCACAAGACCAAAGAAGAAAAGGACTATTCAGACATTTATCAGCAACAAGTCTAAAAGCAGGGATCTGTCAATGTATGAGGTTGTGCCAGTGCCCTTGTCAGTGGTAACTTGCACTTCTGTGATGGCACCATTAATACTGAAAAGTGCATAGAGATTTTGGAGCACAATATGCTACTTTCTTTTCCAGAGACGCTCATGCATAGTTCATCAAGTCAATGCAAAACCACACTCTGCACACATTACAAAGTCCTGGCTGTGGAGGAAGAGGATACAGGTACCTGACTGGCCTGCCTGCAGTCCCAACCTCTCTCCAATACAGAAAGTGTGGCACAAAATGCAACAACAAAAACCCTGTACTGTTGCCCACTTTAAGACTTGTTTGCAGGAAGAATAAGAAAAATATATACCTGAAACACTTCATCACTAGTGTCTTCAGTCCCTAAATATATTTTAAGTGTTATGAAAAAGAATGGCAACATTACAAAGTGGTAAATGCTTTACTGTTTCAACTTTTTTTGAAATGTGTTGCAAACCATAACTGGAATACATTTTTATTTAGATAAATAAATAAATGAAATAAATAAATAAATAAATAAATAAATAAATAAATAAATAAATAAATAAATAAATAACACATTAAATAATGTTTGTTGTGATGTCTGCAATGAAATACAAGTCAAAGTAAAATTAGAAATGACTGCTTTCTTTTTTATTTGTGTTTTGCATATTGTCCTCCTTTTTCTGATTTGGGGTTTTGGTACTTTAAATAGTTTTTTTTTTCATCTGGGGAGTTTTAGCCATTTGATAAAACAGCTTAGATTCAGTGTAAACAGGAGACTCTCTCTTTTTTCCTTTCAACTCTAGGTTTTGTATACATAATTATTTTTTAATTGTCCAGACAAAAAGAGATTTTTAGAATAAATATTGAAGTAATTTTCATTTTAGGGTGAAATATCCCTTAAAATTGTCTTTACTTAGACAGTAAACTTGCTTTAATTAAAAAAAAAAAGTAAATCTTGCCAGATTGTTATTTGTAGATTGTATTTGGCTTTGTTTTACTTACATGCACACTTTTCTGTATATAATAAATACACTCACAGATGAGCTCTCAAATTTTTAGTAACTGGCAGAGCAATAACAATCAATCCAAGATTGCCATTTGCCATTGCATTGCATTTACTGCAGACTTTACTTCTAGTGCTGGAGTGATTGAGTGAAGATGAGGACTGATCTGCATAATCGTGGTTCTTCATACAGGCTAAGGCTACTCAATAAGGCAGTAGAGTTACATTTAAGCTGCAAAATGTAGCACTTGATGGATAGATTCCTGCGTATGAAGCCATCAAGGCACATCCAAATTTTAATCTAGCTTTACTTTCTGCCATTTCTTCATGTGATCATTTTTTGAAGGATGTATCCCTTTCTGCTTTTGATGTCCTAAAATCCTGTGCATTTCCACTCCTGACAGCTGAGCTAAAAAAAATACAAATAAATGTGTCTGGTACAGCTTTGCCTGATTTTCATACGCTGCTTCAAATAAATAAAGTGTGTAATATGATACTATAAAGCTCCTTAGACACTGCTGGATAATTAGTATTTTAACTGTAACATCAACTGTAGCAGCCAAACATATCAGTCATGAGCATCATTACAAAAAAACACAAAACGTGTTCTAGCTTTTTTTTTTTTTATTTGCCCAAAATTAAAAACTGCATGTTTAACTGCATATCATTTTTAATATGAAAACATTTGTCTGGATTCTTCATCATCTTTTTTTGTTTGTTTGTTTACTAGCTCTGTTGCTTGGCATGTATTATCTAGGAGTTTTAAAGTGATTTGTAGTATTTTTAGAAAGAAAGGTAAAAAAAAATGATGTTATTTATAATTGATGTTAACAATTTTTTTTGTAGCAAGTTGCTGAGCTGATGTTGTTTGCACTCCATTTACACATTTTGAAAATATTGAGGACTCAAATGAGTGCTTTGGAGTTTAGTCTATTTATTGCTTTGGTCAACACTGGATGTATTTTGTTCTGCTAAACTAGAACTACTAAAACTGAAACTAAATATATAAGAAACAAATAGAAATGTGTCCATAAAATCAAAACTAAAGTAAAACTAACTAAACCAAACCGAAATTTAAATCATATTTAAAAATAGTTTTGAAATAATAAAAACTAATTTAAAATGCAAGAATGAAAATAGACTTCCCACAGGCCAGTTGAGCTGAGGATGTCCCAAAAGACTTTAAGCATTAGACAACAACTACTACTTCACAGTTCATCTTTTTGTTTACGAGCTCTGTTGTTTGACATGTATTATCTAGGTGTTTCAAAGTGATTTGTGTTATTTTTAGATATAGAAAAAGTCCAAAAACTGGTTTATAATTGACGTTGAGAACCTTTTTGTAGTGAGTTGCTGAGTTGATGTTGTTTGCACTCTATTTATGATTTCCACATTCGCTTTTTTTTAAGTATTAAAGACTTGTGTGTGTGTGTGTGTGTGTGTGTGTGTGTGTGTTTTATTCTTTTTTTATGTGTATAAATCAGTCCTATTGGATTTGTTTGAACATGGTTTTAAATGTTGTCAAATAAAACAAATAAAACAAACAAACCAACAAAATTTGCACTGTGCTTTGGAGTTTAGTCTATTTATTGCTTTGGTCAACACTGGACATATTTTGTTCTGCTAAACTAGAATCACTAAAACTGAAACTAAATATATATAAGAAACAAATAGAAATGTGTCCATAAAATCAAAACTAAACTAAAACTAACAAAACTCATATTTAAAAATAATATTGAAATTATAAAACCCTAATTTTAAATGCAAGACTAAAATAAACTTCCCACAGGCCAGTTGAGGTGAGGATGTCCCAAAGGCTTTCGGCATTAGCTATTACTACTTCAGGTTCTAATAAAAGCAAGACACAAAAGTGCTTCTGCTTTTCTCTTTCAGCACGTTCCAGCATTCTGTTATCGCCTATAGATCTGCTGCAATACTAAAAACCCTGCACGCCTGCGAATTAGTCTCCATATAAATTGCTGCATTAGATTCCATTATGAGCGCAGCCTGCATCATCTTCCGCAACAAGACTACCACAAGGGTCATGCATTGGCTCTATACGATGATATATTATTATACTAATGCACCCAAGACGACGTCAGCAGCGCGCGGATCCTCTTTCTCAATGTGCACAACCAAACCACGGCCGTTTCCTTATTTAAAAAAAAAAAAAACATTGAATGAAAGGGTTTTTAATTATGCTCAGAGACATGGATGTACATGTACTTCCCTTTTAAATGAATTACTGGACATGTGCATGTGGTTTGCTGCTTGTCGCACACACACAAACGCGGCGGCACGTTTATCAAACAATGTGCTTCTCCATATGCACAAGCTCTAGCGCGTAAAAATGAGAATCTCCCCGGCATGCAGACAGTTTACACGCATGAATCTTACACATTTGATGAAATCACGCTGCCGGCTGTTGGACGCGGGAGTAAACTGTGAGTTCAGCATCATCACCATATCATACGCAGACCGTTTCATTCATAAAGAAGCGGCTCTCTGTAATCGGTGCAGTGATTCACATGCCTTCTTATATTTTTTTATTATATATATATATATATTTACAAAAAAAACGCGATTTATTTAGAACATCACGACTAATTGGCTAAACATGTTTGGTTTTCATGATTTGTTATTAAAGCAAATGTTATCGTGACAGTTATGGTGAGTGCCGCGAACCCATGATGTGCCCACACAACAACAGCTTATTTATTCAGTCGCCAAAGTCTGACTGAAAGCTGTCCAGTGCGTGTCCGGTTTGTTGTTTGTGTTGTGCGTTAAAGATATAAAAGACACATTATAGCACAGGCTGCACATGAATGAATTGATTTCATACGTCGGCGCGCAATTGGACTCACCTGAAGTTAACGTGTCCCGCGTGACTGATCTGTGAGCGACAGATGAACGACACACTGCGCTAATAAGATACTAAAGCATTTTACACTAATAATGAAGACGTGATAGGCTCCAATCTCAGCGGCAGTTCTCTCTCTCACTCTCGCACTCACTCATACACACGCACGGGCGCGCGCGCGCACACACACACGCGCGCACACACTCCCTCCTCCTCAGATTCAGAGAGAAGGTGGGAGATTTCTAACATATTGCCTATAGGAGGTAGACAAAATAACCATAACGATGCAGTGCAGTGCAGGGTCTGATTTTAATGAATTATAACGTAGTGGGCAAAGATTAATCACATTCGCATCCAAAATAAGTTTTTTTTTACACACATATACATTTAGTGTGTGTGTGTGTGTGTGTGTGTTACACTCACCAGCCACTTTATAAAAGTACACCTTAGTACCGGGTTGGACCCCCTTTGCCTTCTGCCTTAATCCTTCGTGCCAAAGTGCTGGAAAATGATAGTATCACGCAGTTGCTGCAGATTTGTCGGCTGTACATAAATTATGCGAATCTCCCGTTCCACCACATCTCAAATGTGCTTCATTGGACTGAGCTCTGGTGACTGTGGAGGCCAATTGAGTAAAGTCAACTCTCTGTCATGTTCAAGAAACCAGTCTGAAATGATTTGCGCTTCATGACATGGCGCGTTATCCTGTAGAAGTAGCCATCAGAAGATGGGTACTCTGTGGTCGTAAAGGAATGGACATGGGCTGCAACAATATTCAGGTAGGCTGTGGCGTTCACACAATGCTCAATTGGTACCAATGGGCCCAAAGTGTGCCAAGAAAATATCCCCCACACCATTACACCACCAGCAGCAGCCTGAACCGTTGATACAAGGCAGGATTCATGCTTTCATGTTGTTGATGCCAAATTCTGACCCTACCATCCGAATGTGGCAGCAGAATTTGAGACTCATCAGACCAGGCAACATTTTTCCAGTCTTCTATTGTTCAATTTTGGTGAGCCAGTGTGAAATGTAGCCTCAGTTTCCTGTTCTTAGCTGACAGGAGTGGCACCCGATGTCGATGTGGTCTTCTTCTGATATATTTTCTCTTTTTTGGACCATTCTCTGTAAACCCTAGAGATGGTTGTGCGTGAAAATCCCAGTAAATCAGCAAATTCTGACCAGCCCGTCTGGCACCAACAACCATGCCACATTCATAGTCACTTAAATCACCTTTCTTTCCCCATTCTGATGCTCGGTTTGGACTGCAGCAGATCGTCTTGACCATGTCTACATGCCTTAATGCATTGAGTTGCTGCCATGTGATTGGCTGATTAGAAACTTGCGTTAATGAGCAGTTGGGCAGGTGTACTAAATAAAGTGGTCGGTGTAGCCGATTGACTAATACACATACATAAACACATAAAACCAAAACACATTCATTATCCTTCGGTTTAGTTCCTGATTTATAATGGGTTGCCACAGCACAATGAACCACCAATTACTCTGGCATAAGTTTTAAGCGGTGAATGCCCTTCTAGTTGCTACCCTGCACTAGGAAAGTGTTCTGGGAAACTCCCATACTCTCTCATTTACAGACACACACACACATACACACACACACAAATATAAATAAATCAGAAAACACAAAATATATTTGACCTAAAAAACGAACATTTAAATAAAACATTCAAAATATTAAAAGGAAAACAAATATAAATAAAAATGTAAAAACTATTGAGGTAAAACAAAAAATAAACAAAATAAAGCAAAGACATTTAAATAAAGATGTTAAGTTTATTTTTTATTAGTAATAACCCTAGTCTAATAAAAATCTAAAAAATATGTTGAAATAAAAAACATAAGATATTTGACTAAAATATATCATATTTCAACATTAAATTACTCACTTTAGATCTAAACACAAATAAATGTGAGCAAAGTTTTAAGACTTTTTCTTTAAGATTTGTGTTTTAATCCAAGTTTTTTATTGTTTTCTTGGTACACGACAAAATAATACAAATACATATTACACATGATCACTGGCAGGCCTACTAAATGTGAAGCCAGGATGTATACAGTTGTTACCATGGACAAAAGTACAATATTATAAAGAAAACATGGTGAGTAATTTTAAATTCTGTTATAAGACATCGTCACATTCAATTCAATTCAATTCAGCTTTATTTGTATAGCGCTTTTACAATGTAGATTGTGTCAAAGCAGCTTCACATAAATGGTCATAGTAACTGGACCATGGTGGTTCAGTTTTTAGTGTTTAAGTTCAGTTCAGTTTAGCTCAGTTCAGTGTGGTTTGAAATCATAACTGAGAGTCCAAACACTGAAGAGCAAATTCATCAATGCGTAGCTTTACAGATCCTGAACTATGCAAGCCAGTGGCGACAGCGGAGAGGGAAAAAAAAACTTCACCAATAGGAGAGTGAAGAAAAAAAACCTTTAGAGAAACCAGACTCAATTCGGCACGACCATTTTAATTTCTCCGCTGGCCAAAAGTCTTGTACAGAGCTGCAGTCTCAGAGGTGGAGGCTGGAAAGACCAAAAGTCTTATGTGTGACCCCTGCTTTGTCCTTTTTATGTGAACACTTCTTTCATAATATTTGGCATATGTTCCCTATCTACCAGTAAGCACAACCTTGTTGACGGTTTTAATGTTCTACTTTAAGATTTTTTATATAATCAAGTGGGGGGTTTGGTGAGAAAGAGGGGTTGTCGTGTTTTCATGTAAATTTAGGTAGAATAGTCCGTTAATTGAACATAAGACACAATCCACCTGGATACTGCCAACACATGTGTTCATGTTTCCTTGAAGAATTGAAGTTCCTGTCACAGCATCTGTATGTAAAATTGGTGCAGAATTAGTTCTTCATCTTGCAAGCAGAACTGGCAAAGGTTTGGTCCTTGTTTATTTTAATCTAGTCAATAATCTTTCACAAGGCACATTCCCATCAAAGTGACTGACAGAATTTTGTGTAAAAGTTTATTTAGTCTATTTAGCAAGAACCAAACAAATGCAATTTACTGCAACCACACATTAAATCAGAATACAAACTGGCACTGAGAGTTTATTAAACATGCAGACTCTTTCAATGTGGAGAGATGGAGGCGGTAGACAACCAAATATAATCACAATAGACAGGCTGGGTGTGCAGTTTGATAATAGCTTGCAAGAAGCAGGAGGCCAGGCCGCAAAACAGCATGTGGATATTAGTCACCTCATAATAACGTCTGTATTATTCAGTACTCTCCGCAGCTTTTATTTCTTCCCCTCGCAAAATGAAAAGAAATTAGATTGTGAAGGCTCGTGTCAAATACAGAGCAACAACGGTGAAGATAATTAGGTTAGAGCAGATGCTTTAAGTGATTTAGTTCTTGGAGATAATTAGACATTTATATTCATTTTCTTTTACAGTAGGTGAAGATGTTATGTTTTTAAGCCTCTCTTTTCAAATGCAGCAAACAGAAAGCGATTAACTAATAAAAGATTGATGGATTACATTAAGTCAGTGGTGCTGTTTGTCTCCCTCTTCCTGCAGGAGTCAGAACTACAATATTGCAATATTAGTACTATACACAACAATATTTTATATAGCCGCTTTTGTGTGAAGGCAACAGTAGATAAACACTGTTGTTAAAACTAATAAACGCCATTCTTTTAATGAAAATGAGTTATTGCTCTGTAGTGTGAACAATATGAACGCATGCGCACTGCAGACTGAACAGACGTTTTTGATGCAAATTCTGCTGCAGCTTGTCTAAAATATGTGTACAACAAGACCAAAGACAAAGATTGAAACGTTATGTTAGGGTCAATATTAGCCCACTTCGATTGGTTACAGAACAAACCTGTCGGCCAATATCTTGCCCAATTAACCTAACTTGCTTAGTTATTCTAATTGACCTAGATATTGTTTTAAATTGTATTTCAAGCTGAATACTAGTATTTTTCACAATTATAACATATTGTAATTACAGCAAACAAACAGAAAAGACATTAGTTATTAGTCATTAATAAAAATATGGTGTTATTATGTTGTTTTTAAAAATACTATCTCTGTTGAACAGCACATATTTGGCAAAATAATAAAAAGTATGGAGCCAGATCAGTCTCAAAAACGATAAATTAAAAAAAAAAATGTATACATGCACAGTATGATACACATTTACAAAATCCAATTTATAAACAAAGTTCGTCATTTCACAAGTAAAAATCATAAACATGTTCACCAAATTAATTGGACTTGTGTAAATTATGAATGGTGTTTTGAATTTACAAATTGAATTTCTGTATTTTTGCATTGTGTTTTGAATCTACAAATATGATTTTTGTACTTTTGAATCGTGTTTTGAATTTACGAATTGGATTTGCATATTTTTGAATCGTTTTTTAAATTTACGAATTGAATGTGTATTTACAAATTGTGTTTTAAATTTATGTATTGGATTTGCATATTTTAATTCATGTTTTGAATTTATGAATTAGACTTTGTAAATCTTAATTGTGTTGTGGATGTATAAATTATATTTTTTTTAATATTTTATTTTTGAGACTGATCTCGCTCCATAAAAACTTCTGGTTCACAATTCGGTTTAAAGTGAACTATACCACTGTTCATGTACAGCCAAATTCAGAAAAAAACAGTATTCACAATATCCAAACCAATCAAACACTTGTTTTAACACTAATTGTTAAAGTTATAAAGCTTTAGTCCTTGATCAACGTGTTTACATTGGTATTTTTACAACTAAAGCTAAAGCAGGACGAACTCACAAGTGGATTTTTATATTTTGTTACAGAACAACCACACTGCAATATTAAATAATTAATAAATATAAGGCATGCTGAGGATCTCGCAGATGCTGTTTTTAATTCTCCGTTGACAAAGCCAACATCTCCACCTATTTAAGTGATCCTTATCTATGAAAGGAAAACAAACTGTATCCACTTAAATAGAAAGTGTCCTTATAAAGTGATCATGCCTCAGATATAAAACTATATTTCAGTGAAAATACGATTTGCTTATTGCTGTAGCAGGTGTACACACAATGCCTTCTCCAGTACCATTCACACAGTGCTCTTATAATAAAAAGGTAACCTGAGAATGCTGTTCCACTACAGCTCAGCTTTTAACATGATTAAACAACCCGACAGGGCTTCACACCCTTGTTTACTTCATGCTCAGAGTCCCCATGGTACACTTCAATTCCCACTTGCACTACAACTGTTGCCTTCCTTGAGCAAATATTGCAGATACTCAGTGCCATTACCCAATTTAACAACACTGCACACACTGTTACGGCAGACACTTGTCCTCAATAATATTTGCAAATTATCCACTTGCATGTTAATATGCAAGTCCATATACGCATTATTTGAATGTTTACACCATATGTTTATGAAATTACATGCATGCGAGCACATATAAAGTGTGGATATTCTACTTTTCTTAATAGAAAGCATTACAATCTTGCTTTGGTGGTAGATTTCCTGAATATTATCTTAGTTATATAGGTTATTATAATTTTATTTAATAATTTATTATTATTTGTAATTTCATTAGTTTCTTAAAGACTTAGTCAGTTGTTTTATTTTGTGAATACATTTCTATTACCTTTTTTATTGTAGCTTAGCAGGGTTAATAGAACATGTGCAGTATTTTTTACCAAAGTAAAGTTTAGTGTTCAAAGAACATACATTAACTTTGTTCAAACAGACACTGAACCCAAAACCACGCAAAGTGACGTTTTAAAAACAAATTTGGAGAGGAGCATGCGCAGATGTTTCAGCAATTCTTATACATCATTGAAAATCATTCTATTATCCAATCAGCATTAGACCAAACCCTATAAATACGAAAAGTCATCCTATACCTGCATTATTTCACGACTTTAGCATCCCTTTTTTTAGCAACATTATCTACCCGGGAGGAGCATTCTGGGGTCGGGCTAAACACTTAGCATGCCAAATACGTTTACTTTAAACATCTGTAAGTGTGAACTTGTGAATGCATCTTAAACGAATAAAAATAATGAAAAATTAAGACACTTCATTTAAAGATCATGTAGTCCAGGGATCTCAAACTCAATTCCTGGAGGGCCACAGCTCTGCACTTCCACCACCTCCAACTCACACCTGCTTGTCTCTAGTAGTCTTGAACACCTTGATGAGTCGAGTTGGATCCGCTGTGTTTAATTTAGGGTTGAAGCAAAACTGTGCGGAGCTGCGGCTCTCCAGGAATTGAGTTTAAGAACTCTGACAGGGGTGGCCAACCCTGTTCCTGGAGAGCCACCTTCCTGCAGATTTCTTATTTTACCAAAATTTAATATGATCACGCCTTGATTTTTAATTATTTTATTAGGACAGTAAGGTCTGACTTTGCTCAGACAAAAGTCTTGACACTGAACAGAAATAATGTACAGTATAGAATATAAAGTCATGGTGCAGTGGAAACAATTAATATTGTATATGTCTCTCATGAGCTTGGAGGACTGCATCCATAAATCTCTGCAATGACTCAAATAACTTAATAAAGTCATTTGCAATGGCAAATAAAGCGTTCTTGCAGGACTACCAGAGTTCATCAAGATTCTTTGGATTCATCTTCAACATTTCCTCCATCTTAACCCAAGCTTTCTCAATAATGTTTATTTCTGGTAACTGGGCTGGCCAATCCAGGAGCACCTGGACCTTCTTTGCTTTCAGGAACTTTATATGGAGGCTGTAGTGTGAAAACGAGCGCTATCCTGCTGAAGAATTTGCCCTCGCCTGTGATTTGTAACATAATGAGTACATACATAATGATGTAACCCCAAACCATGATTTTTCCTTCACCAAACTTAACTGATTTCTATTAGAATCTTGGGTCCATCCAAGTTCCAATGGGTGTTCTGCAGCATTTGTGATGATTGGGATGCATATTATCAGTAAAATCTACTTACTGCCACTTTTCCAAATGATCAAGTACAAGTCAAGTTACTCTTAAAATTTTGATGGACGACAAGACTTTTGTCAGGTAGTGTACTGGTGTTTCTCTAAACAGACGGAGGTCTGATTTTTCACCACAGAATGAGTGCTAATTAATGGTAATTTATTTTAATAAAAATGTTTTTTTGAACAATAGTTTGAGATTTCATTTACTAAAACAACTATGGTTACAAACATCACAACGTAAATAGTTATTTGCATTAATAGCTAAAATCTTTGATCATGCATGCAAGACATGTGACAGGTACAGTAAAAAAAAAAAAAAAATGGAGCAAAAGTACACACATTTTTTTACATTTGAGTACTGCTTCAGTGTTGTCTGTGATAAAGACCTCATGAATCCAGATCCAGTTCTTTCACTGAAACGTAACTTTTAGCTTTAGACGAGGATGACTCATAGCAACACTAAAACAGGAGATATAAAGATATCTGAAAATAACAATCTTGGTGTAGTTTAAAAAAAAATAATAATAATAAAAATAATAATAATAATACGTAAAAACATACATTATTTTCCAATATCCTGAAATGATCGAACTCCTGTCCCCTAAATTTGGTTGCACTTATTTTCGACCTTTTGCCTGTGTATATCGACTACGATTCTGGACTGTCTATACATACCCGTTTGCACCTGATTTGACCATTGCTTGCCTGACATTGAATAAACCTGCATATTGGATCTTACCTCCTGTTGTCCTCTGTCACTCCACCCAGTCGGTAACAATTTTACAGTGCATGTACTGATCTTACATTGTACTATTTATATAATGGTTAAGTTCATGTGCATGTTGGGTTTATATAAGTGTTATGGTTAGGGATAGTACCTAGTCGTTACCCAGCTTATGTAATGAATACAAAAAAAGCACTATCAAAAAAAATAAATAAATAAATAAGAATTTGACCAAAGTTATACAGTTTAAAAACAAAGCTATATATATATATATATATACACCAAGGAAATGTTTATAAACTTTTGACTGTCTAGAAATTAATAAATTAAAAAAAAAAAAAAAACAAATTATTCTGGCATTTAGCAAATGTAAATAATTTAGGTAATTCTAACGGACCAAAAATAGTAAACGTTTAGTATGATTTACCATCAGACATTTTTTTTTAAATAGTTATGTTCCTTTTTTTTTTTTTAGAGTATGTAAATTTCTAGTTTCAACTGTATCTAGAACCACCTTAGAGGATATTGGGTGTCGCAAGTCACTGATATTGTTGTATTGGGGGTCGCGGGCTGAAAAGTTTGGGAACCCCTGCTCTATCTGATGAATTGGAAATCTCATCTTGGCCTTACTGGCCCTCTTACTGTTTGGCTCACAAAAAGAACCTTGTAAAACCAACCTAGAGTTCAACTATTTATTTAAAAGTCCCAAAATGTACCCCCAAAAAATCTACTAAAATAAATTGTCACAGAATAACAATTTATGAATATGTGCCAATTATGAGAGAGAATTCCATGATTCCAATGCAACCAAGTTTATGGTGAACTTTTGACCAGGGCTACTTGAAGATGCATTTATTTTCTTGAATTCTTGAACTTGGTGTTCTCGAAAATGATTGCTTTCATAGTGTTCTTGAAACACTATGAATAGCCACAAAAGACCACCTACACTCTGCCTACTAACCTAACATGTGATTGTTGGGGAACAAAGGTATTCATACTTTGTGTGTGTTGGACTGCAGCTGAAATCATTTCTGTAATCCACATCCTTACAACACTGACCTTGCTCTTACAGGAACGGAGACATTACCACATAACCAGCAGGTTCATGAGCATATATCAAAACATACACTGGCCACAGATCAGTTAAATACACTGAAAAACATCTAAATTATTAAGACAAGTCTTTTCATTTTTTTTCCCTGAGTCAACAGAAACAAGTAATATATAGCCAACGAAAGAAAAATGACTAAAATCTTATATTTAGGTATAACTTTCTCCAGTTTTATTTATTAAAATACAATGGCATTTCTTTCATTGGTCATAGTGCTAAAATATTGTCTAGAATAAACTCAAAACAGAAATGTGATGGATCTTAAGAACATTTGTGGACAGTTTAGGCAATTCATAAATTATTAATGACCATTTCCTGGGTAATTGTGCTACCTGGCTCAGATGCAGTGAGATCATTTCCAGTGAACTTAGTGAGTTAAACAATAAGCTAGTCAAATAATAAGGTAAATGTAAACACAGGGCTCCTGATAAAATGATTATTCATATCCCCACCTCCAAATCATTTATTCTTATCGCTGTTCAGCAATGTCAAGCCTGTTGGAAAAAAAAAAAGCAGAGAAAAGTGTTGCTGACAATGTCCAAATATTGATTCAATTACATCAATGCAAAATTGAATTAAACAGCCAAGAAGTACATAAAAGATTAAACCACAAACTTAATAACCTTCTCAAAGTGAACTGATAATGGATTTAGGAGGCTTTATGAATTACCTTCCTTTGCCATGGTCTCTGCTGCACTTTTGGCTTTGCCGCTCAGGTCACTGACAACGTTGTCGAACGCAGCTTCATGCTTGAGGAAGAAAGGCCTCACCACACGCGTGTATATGACCTGAGAGCCATTCCAGGAGATCGGAGCCATGCACCACAGCAAAAACAGGCACTGAAATATAGATTTAAAAATGCAGAACATGTCAACTTCTCATTAGCTGACATTGTGGTCAAAACAATTTTATTGTGCACGGCCTTTAACTACTTTTTGCAGCCTTAACTTCATCTCACATCATCTGTGAAGAAATGCCTTGTCACATAGCTCATATTCTGTGAGATTATTTGCTTCTGTCAGAAAATATAGCCTTTGCCTGACTTAGTTCTAGTACAGTATAATCGCCTGTTCTAAAGGAGTTATGGATTTTCAGTGCACATCTGCATTCATCAATGACTTCTGTTTGGAGTGTGTCTGGGAGTCTGTGATACCATCAGTGCACTTGTTGATGTTGCTAGTCACAGATGCTGTAGATTCTTCCACAGTTAGTTGGTTCTTATAATGCTCCATTCAGTTTGTTCAAAACGGTCCTAAAGAGCAGAGATGACTCCAGCTGGTCATGTTCTGCCCTGCTTCAGGACTGGTCTTTTACTCCTGACAAGCTTCCTGTGTGCTGTTATCAGCATAACAGATATGTGTTCAAAGTAGCCAAGGTGCGGGCAGGGCTCTGTGTGGTGCACACCAGGAATATTGTGGTAACAAGATCTAGTGTTAAATTTCAAAGTTCACATGCTGGTGGAATTTTTTGAGACACTCAAATGGTTAGAATCCCCACGGGCCAATATACAGGCCTTCAGAGTCTTTCACAGGGTGCGTTTCCATGCACAAGAACTTTAACATCATCCCAATCTTAATCCATAGGGCTTAATATGGTAATGACTTACACTCTGCAGTTAAAACAGCTTTTACTCAAAACCTGGCTTGCAGTCTTTACTCATCCCGAAGGTCAGTTTTTAGTCCGGTTCAGGTCAGGACTCTGTGCATGCCAGTCAACTTTCTTCACACCAATCTCACTTTACGGATAGTACTTTGTGCACTTTTGTGCAGGCATGCTGGAACAGGCCAGGGAGAAGCCATCTGCAAACTGTTCCACAAAGTAGGGAGCATAAAACAGTCCAAAATGACTTGATATGCTGAAAATTAAGCATTTATTTCTCTGGACCTAAAGGGGCAAGCCCCAATCCTGAAAAACAACCTTACATCATAATCCCCTCTACGCCAAACTTTACACTTGGCACAATGCAGTTAGGCAATACTGTGCTAATAGCATCTGCCAAACCCAGAATTGTCCATTGGATCTACAGACAGAGAAGCATAATTCATTACTCGAGGAACACCGGTACTGTAGGATGCTTTATACCACTGCATCTGACGCTTTGCTTTGTACTTGGTTGGTGATGTAAGGCTTGGATGCAGCTGCTCACCATGGACATTTGGAGGTCTGTAGTAAAACGCAAATAACTTCTGCACACTGTGTGCCACAATATGCACTTAAGCTGCTCTGTGATTTTACCATCTTTTTGTTTTCTGTCGTTTTCGACTTGCATGCACTTCATTACAATACCACTAACTGGAAATTTCAAGATTGGCAAAGGGGGCAATCAACACACTTCTATTGAGTCACACACTCACAGATAATTTAATGTTTCTTGATGAGCAAATCATCATATTAGAATGATTTTTGAAGGATAACGTGACTGGACACATAAGGAATAATTAATATATGAAATAAATCACACAATAAGCAGAGTTATTTGGCTGCATATGAACTGTGATCTCCATAATGGCTCAAGTTGAGGTACATTAGCTCTAAATAATAATAATAATAATAAAAATAATAATAATAAAATAAATATATTTATTATAAATATAAAATAAAATAAAAATATTCCAAGCATTTACATCTTCAACACAGCTGGTTACTGACACCATAATCCAACTACCTTGTTAAAACATGCATTGAATAATGTATAACAACATATCCTACAACCTCATATCGTGGTGAATATCTCTATTAAAATTATGCAAATAGAAATAGGAAAAAAGTCATGCATATCACTTAAGACCTCAGCTCAAATCAGTCAGCTGCTAGTTCATTTGAATAAATTGGTAATAAAGCATTCAGTCAAATTTAGAACAAGGATCAAAACTGAAATGAGGCTGTTGGTCGAGTCGGCAGTTAGTCAGGCATACTAAATATACACTATGCAAAACCCCTCAGCATGACCTACATACCAATACATTTACAGTCCTCCTACAGCAAGCTAACGTGATGAAGTGAATGGTTTATTAAACAGATCTCCAACAAATATGGAAATACAATGAAAGCATAGATAAAATATATTTATTACCTTGCCAGCATAGTAAAAGGGAAACCAGAAAAGGAAGATATCAGAGAAAAATTCAGCCACACTGAAGAGTCCATAAACCACCCAGTAGGTTAGCCATTTGGTGTCATCTTCTTTATTGTTACTTTCAATGGCTTTGATGCTGCATGAGAAAAAGAATGAAAACAGACCAGTCACACATTATTGTGCAGTGCACATAGATAAACAGCAGGTTCTCTCTACATCCAACATCTGCACAAATAGGAATGGAAGCCTTAAATTGAATTAAGACTTCTCCCCCTCTCACTTTTGTTTTAATGACTGCTTGCACCGGCGCAAACCCTTCATTACATATTTTTAAGATAATAAAAAAAAGAGAGAGTCCAAAAAAAAAAAAAAAAAAAAAAAAAAAAAAAGAGCATTAATAGTCATTTCAGCAGCTAAGCTTGTTGTATTTGCAGAAGTCTAAGTTTCCCCTTTAAGAAGCAAAGTTAATGGGAGAAGAACATTTAAATAAACACTGCAGAGGAAAGTTTGCTAAATCAATGAATAGTTTTGTCATTATTTAACACCCTAACAAAAAAGCCTAACAAAAAATATTTGAAATGTTGTTTTATCGGTAGAATACACACCCCTAACCATCATCAATGGGGTATATGCACACGGACTTTTCATTTTCAGTCAGCCAGCCCAAGCACCTCCAGAGAATTCTCTTTCCATTACAAAATCGCCACATTTAAGATCTGAGCTCTTTAAAAATAAATGATCTTCACCGTCTGACTGATATACAGCATAGTGGGTCTCAATCCAGGCAAAAAGCACTGCATTAAGTTCCACTTTTTCCCCACCATGTTTTTAAAAATATGAACATTTATTCTGCACTTGCCTGCTGCTAATGACAGCGCAAGCGTTTACACTGTCATGCATAAAACAAGATAAAGACTAACTAAATAAATGCTTAAGTCTATTTAACGGATTGTAATTTAAATACATTACAACATTGATGCTGTAAACCTTATGAAACTGAAAATATAGTCACCTTAACCTTTCACCGGAAGTTTACTGTTGGCTAAAAAAAAAAACTAGCTGTGCATATAGCCCATTCTGCTGGTTTGCATCCTAATTTATGCTGCTGTACTGCGTTGGACATTATGGAAATGATCTGCTGTGTATGCGTTTAATTTGAAATACATTATCCCTTTTAAAAGACAGCACACTCATTCTGATTTGTACACTAATAATCAGAATTTTCTTTTTCTAAAGGGTTTATATCTTATAGTTTTCAGTCAAAAAAATTGTAAGATAAAAAAATAATAATAATAAATCAGAATTTACATTTCACAATTAACTTTTTTTCCCCCACTCAAAACTGCAAGGTATCTAGATTTGCATGCACATATACAGCATAAAATGTGAGAAGCAAGCTAAGAATTTTGAGGGGAAAAATACAATTGCAAGATATAAAATTTCTTCACACAATTCTGACTTTACATCATGTAATGTTAGTGTTGCAAGTCAAACCTTTAATTTATTACATCAGAACTGCAAGATATGGACTAAGAATTATGAAAAAGCCAGATATGTGGGATTTAGACTCTTAATTCCAAGTTAAAATTTTGTAATTGGGTGATTTCTTAAATTAAAAAGGAGTTAACTTTAAGATAAACTAGGAATTCTGCTTTTTTATTGTTTAGAGTTTATCATGTAATTTGAACTGTCTGAGATGAAAATAAGTCAACTATGAGATTATCAAGTTGCAAATGAGGCAAATAATTGTGTGATGTTTGAATTGTAAAAAACTCTTATTTAATTCTATTTAAAAATTAGATTTACAGATCTACAATAGAGAGACATAGAATACTTCTCTCAATTTTGAGGTCACATCTTGCAATTTTTTCCTCTCTTCCTTTTAAGATTGGTATGAAAATAAGCCAGAGTCATCGAATTTTAAAAATCTGAATTGCATTTTTAAATATAAAGTTTAAATTTTATGGCAGAATCAGGCTTCCATAATAAATATGACTACTAAACTATTGGACGTCATGCACACTTACGAGGCATATGCTGGGTATATAAAACCAATCAAGTTGCAGAGGAGAGAGGCACCATATCCAAATATCAGGTAGAAAGCCACAATAGACACTACACCTGCAGAGCAAGCAGAGACACATGATCACTGCCAATATTCAAATGAAGAAGGGCATTTAAAAGCACCAATGACTCTGTTGGGTGTCAGTGTTGACACCTATAACAGGATAAAAGGAGAACAAACAAAGCCTGCTTAAACACATATTGATTATGCTAAAAAATTAAGGAAGCTGTATTGTTTATATGTGAACATAAGGGAGGTTGTTATGTTCTGTCCCCAATCAGGCCATGTAGGCTAGCCCCTGCAATTCTACACAGAAACCTGAGGACGTACTATACGTTTAAAAATAACCCTTGGGAGCGGCTTTTGGTACAGGAAATTAGACCCAGAGAGAGATCCTACAAGGACTCGCCACAACACATTTCAGATAAGCAGTGGATGGGGATGACCCATTGGACCCATTAATGCACCTGATAATCACACCTGATAAAAGACCAATTATTTGCTTTGTGCTTCTCAAACAAACATGTGGTTTGCTGTTAAAATAAAGAGCAATAACAGATCAACCAATGCAAATGCAAAGAGGGAAATGACAGATAACCCTGAGGGGAAACTCTGAGTGCTGTATAGCTTATGTTCATGCCACACACAGGCGCACAAAACAGAGTAATGTTTGATTCATTATTCGACTCCTTAATGAATCATTTGGGCTGATTTGCAAAACAAGTTGGAACTGTATTTCAAAGGGGTAAAAAGCAAGGTTATTATAGTTTTGCATTTATTAGTATTTATATTTCCATTTAAAAATGCTGTAAATTTCAATTTAGTTTTAGATTGTTTTATTAAAAAAAGTGCACCTATGTTGAAAATCATCTTTTGGAAGCTGTTTGGACAGAACTGCATGTAGATATAGTGTCTCCACAGTTAAACTGGAGTGATAGAAACACAAAGTGTCTTTTTTATTTCCTGATGTTAAGTTAGAATCCAAACCCTTTACCCACCGAATTGATCGACAGCCCCATATTAACATGTCTCTATAGTAACAAACATAATCACATCCACAAAACAACTAGGATTAAAAGATCTGTTTAGCACTCTGTGATAACTCATTTGTAATCACATTTGATGATGACGTTTTTACCAGTTTAAAAACTTTAAAACAGTGCATGTTTGTAAAGAATTAGCTTTACTTTATGACCACAGCCACGTGTCAATACAATTATAAAAGACGACGCTTCAATCGTAGTTTGTGGACGTTAAATCAGGTTTATTTTGTACATTAACAATGAATATCCAGACTGCAGTGTATATTAACACACGCCAAGTCACATTTGCCGTGCAAAAACAGTGTAAAGCTAAACATATGCGCTTTGTGTGTGTGTGTGTGTGTGTGTGTGTGTGTGTGTGTGTGTGTGTGTGTGTGTGTGTGTGTGTGTGTGTGTGTGTGAAATTTGGAATGACATTGTGTGTGACTCATCGTTGCAACTCCACAACAAATACATCAAATAATCATTGGGAAAGTTCTTACTGTAGTTTTTCTCAAAAACGTTATGCGAGATCTGCTTCCTACATGTCTATCACTGTGCTGTTTATCTGACACACGCAGCCATAGATTGAGGCACACTCTGACAGGCACATGGGAACGGTGGGCAGGGCGAACCAGCATTAAAGGCACAGGAAACAAAAACAGCACAATGTGTTCAGAGTAGAAATATCCCAATATTCTGAAAGATATATTAAATAATCTGATGGGTGTTTTGAGCTAAAACTTTACAGACACATTGTGGGGACAAAAGGGGGTAAAACAGGTGCCACTTAATGTTTTTTTTTTTTTTTTATGAACTCATTTCTATTTAGCTTTTTTAGAATCTAAATTTCAGTCTTGTTAATTCTGTTAAACTAGAATTACTAAGTCACATCCTGTGTAGTTGACCAAAGTAAAGTTTAGTGTTTGCACATCATGCATCCAACTCTTGTGCAAACCTCTTAGTGATAAAAGTAAAATAATCATTTGAACAGACACTGAACCAACTTACATGAATTTAAAACTTCCAAACTTCCTCATATTAATGATCATGTATTAGTTGAACATGTCTAGTTTACATTTATTGGCAAATGAAGAAAATGTGTTTGTCTGTAAAAGAGCGTCTACAGGTACTTCTATATAGATTGGTCAATTTTCCACCACAGAAGAGTGCTAATTAATACTGAAAACAATTATTGTTTTTGCTAATGATTATTTTATTTCAGCTAGTTTTTAAGTGAATGTTAGTTTTAGTGTGTGTGAGTAAATTTTATTTCAGATAACATTTATTTAAAAAAAATATTTTTAATTTTTCATAGATTAGTTGACTGAAATACCCTTGGTATGCAGTAGACATTGAGGTCTAACTAAACCAAATGATCCAGAGTTTAAACTAAAGATTCTCATCGCATAATATTATACAGTTGGAATCTGTGAAAAGTCAAACTTTCTAATGAGATTACACATGTAAAATTGTTCAAAGTGGTAATTATTTTTTTGAGAACCTATACATACATGCTCTTGTAAACAAACTGCTCACAGTATGTCATTATGCGACAAGAACCTCTATTCAAGATAGTAATGAACACACTTAAGGTTAATCATAATAGAGCAATTCCAGCATTATCGATGTTACATTTAGCAGTGAAAAAATAAATAAATAAAATTGAAAAAGTATGTATGATAACATAATATTGAAAAATCTGTTTATATTTTCCAAAACAACTAAACACAGAGTTATGGGATCAGAAAATGTTCAATCTGTAAACATTTTAAATGAAGAAAATAAACATGCATTATGGGTTAGATGAAAAGTTAACGAGTTTGCAGTATGCAACATACTTTGTAGAAACTCTGTGAATAAACTGCACACCTCGAAGGAAACAACACTAATCACTTGGATAAAAGTTGGCTCTTTACAGAACAAAAATGATTTATTTTGTTTAAAATTTTTGCATTTAAGAGGTAAAAGGTTTGTAATGGATGTGACACCTCTTCATTCCGGACGTGACAGATGTGAAATTTTGCAAAGTCACACAATTGGAAATCAAACATATTGAAAACATTGAGAGAGAAATTGAGTAGTTTTTAAGTTCTGTAAAATACCTGCTTGCACACAAAAAAACTGCAGAAACAGTTGCCTATTTTGGTTGAAGCTTACTTTTTTCCTGGCAAGGTTGACATTTGCATAGAATTGCTCAATAACATTGTAAATAATCTTATGTTACTTGTACAGACCCATCGTTTAGCGTTATAGTAACTCACTGTATCGTTAGTTCCTGAACTTCACGAACCAAATTTTGTTTTGCCTGTAGGCGATGTGTTTTTGTGACTCTTAAAGTGCTGTCAGCTGATGACTCATGCTTAATGAACCACCAAGAACCTGGTTTTAGATAAACGTTAAAGATGTCTATTTTACAGAAGAACCGTACATACATCTCGATTGGCCTGTAAAGTACAAGTAACACATTGTTGAGGGGGGGAGAGCTACCTCTGTAAGAAAACAAACTGAAGCAGCTCTAGAGTCAACAATTCTAACTCAATGAACTGGGAACTGATAAAAACCTAAAATTAATCGAAAACGGTGATAAACAGCCTGCACTGCTTAAGAGAACACAACTTGCTACCATGTCTTGATATTCGTGACCACCTAATGACAGAATTAATTTAAAGGGCAATTAAGAAGAGCTGAATCATTTATCGTTCAGAGTCGACACCTAAAGGAACCGATTCAACTAAATGACTCGGACTTCCCAAGGCAGACCCATGTCGTGTACGGACTTGTCATTATGGTTTCCAGTGCCCTTTGCACTCATTTGCAACATTCAACAAAGGCTTTACATATGGATCACAGTACCTTTATTCACGTGGTAAGAAAATGAGCTCATACCTTTCTGAAGAAAACAGTAACGGATACAAAGAACATTACAACACACATAAAGCCTGACAGCTGATCAAAAGTACAGCTTAAATATATAATGTACGCCGTATTGTTCATGGATAAACAATAAAAGGTGTCCCTAAAGGGTGTACGTTATTAAAACCAGTCACGTACCTGCCGCAATGTATTGTTTTTGAACTCCAGTTTTCTCTTCCAAAACAGCCAGAAAATCCGTTAACACGTTCTTCTGTTTAAAAAACGCGTCGTAGCGTTCAGTGACAGTATTTAACATGTTGCTCTTCCTAGTTTTTAGTACAGCAGACCGTACTGGCTGGTCAGGATCAGAATTGTAAACAGTTTTCCAGCCAAGCAAGCTAACACTTTGGGAAAGTTTGCCCCCTCTGAGCGGCGCAGCTTACCACAGGCGGGAACAAACACTATGATGACCAATGAAATCTAATAAAAATATATGATTCCACCTCCCTCACAGGTGATTATCATTCCGCTTAAATGCTGAAAAGGAAGTTATGCTATTGAATGAGGGCACATTTATATGAATGACAAGGTCAGGGGGCGGGTTAAGGAGAATCTGTAGGTTTTGTTTATTTTTCCGGAGAAAAAATCTGCAGTTCTCCAGAACTATTTCACCCTAACTACCTCTGCTTTTTGGCATAGAAGCTAAAAGGCTGTAAATATCAATAAAAAAAATCCATTACAAACATTTGTAATTAAATCTTGTTCAGCCATGTCTGTCTGTCTGTCTGTCTGTCTGTCTGTCTGTCTGTCTGTCTATCTATCTATCTATCTATCTATCTATCTATCTATCTATCTATCTATCTATCTATCTATCTATTCCAAATGATTACCATATATATATGGTATATATATAAAATCATAGTTGTAGTTGTAATGCAGGTTTTTAATTGCATTTTAAGTTTACATTTTGTTTTGTTTAAACAGTTTAAACTTCAGATATAGTTTTTTTCTGTGTAACTTTACATTGTTACTTTAATTAAAAAAAACTGTGACAACTGGCATTTTTAAAATTTGCCAGGCGAGGGCACTCTTTGCTTTTCTCTTCATTGATCCTCTCTACCTCTCTTCTCCATTCATTGCTGTGCGCGGTCTCTTCATACATTTTGTGCCTAATGTATGCAAACATGTTTAGGTTTTGCATAAGTGTTTTGGATCATTTAATATATATATATATATATATATATATATATATATATATATATATATATATATATATATATATATATATATATATATATATATATATATATATATATATATATATATATATATATATATACATACAAAAATACCTGTACATCTTCATAATTGTAGTTCCCCAACTACTGTGATCAAATTTTGTTTTCCAACCGACCCTAACTAAGATATTCACCCTTTCATACTCACACTGGTGTAACCCTGAATATATGCCTAAAAGAAGACTCAAAACACAAATCCTGTACTTTACTTTCCAATCTGAGGTAATGCAGGTTGCGAATTCCCGTGGGTGGTGGAGCTTCAGCCAGCCCCTAATTAAGGCTTGAACTCCCCTAAAGGATGTCAAACCTAAATAACTAGATGTGTAAAGAACTCTGGAAAATAATTTATTCTGATTTGTATCTGAAATAATAAACAAATAAATAAATAAAGTTAATAATAATTTGTCCCCTCCTACCCTTATAAATGGTTCAGCCCACTGCCAAAGCATGATCGTGCGATTCGTGCCCAACAGCAATGTGCTACATTGGAAAATGTTCTGCGTTTATCTGAAACAGGCAGATCTAGCCAACTACCCTCTGATCAGTCTGCAATTGGTACTGTAAGTTTTTAAAAGACACGTTTTCTTTCTTGTAAATTAGATGTTTCTACACAAACCTAAAAGTGAAATCAAATTTAATATGGTGTGTATTTTAATAGACACTTTATGCCCCATAGACCAGGCGTGCCCAGACTTTTTCATTTGAAGGGCCAAAAAAAAAAAAATTTGAGGCTAGTGGACCGAAAGTAAATATAGTTGCCATGTGTAAATTCCTAATTTATTTAATGAAATTTAAAAATGGCTAGAAAACACTGCTTTATATTAACTAATACAGTTTTTACAATGGACTTGTCACAGTAAAAATCTCATTTATAACAGAATTGCACTAGTTTTGCCTTTTGCTTCTGCATCAGTCAAGTGACAGTATTTACATTTAAGAATCTAAATCATTTACAACATTTAATTAAAACATTTAATTTCAGTTTGCTTTTTTGTAGCTCAGCAATATAACTTACAAAAAATGTTATGCTAAATTAGAAATGATGACCTCTGTGTTAAAGGCATCCGCCCGACCTTCTTCATCATTCTCACTGTCTTCTAAGCTGGGATGGTGGGCCAAATCTAAGTTACAATGGGCCAACTTTTTCCCACAGGCCCTACTTTAGGCATCTCTGCCACAGACTGTAAATAATAAAGCCATGCACATGGAATTTATATAGCCTACTAGTTGTAGTGTAGTAGTGTAATCTTTAATGATCATGTAAGGCGTGAGATATCACAAATACTTTGATGTCTTTGACAATTCAAACATGAGCCAAAAACAGAGACAATTGACTCCACAACCCAGCAGGTGGGAATGCGGGAAGAAACCAGCTGTTCAACCATTCTATTCAAATGATCCTGATTAACTCATCCTGACTGTATGTCTTTGACAAGATCAGGGAAGAATGCAGGAATGCACTCTTCTCCTTTCACCCCAAGCCCCCCTTCTTGACCTTTAAGCGGCTTGCTGATCAGAGCACATTTCACATAAAATGTCCAGGGTTTTAATATGGTGTATCTTGCAGCACTATATTCATGTTTGGTATCATTTGAATTGTCTCAGTGCGACTGGTAAAATGGTCTCATTCCCTCAGAAATAGACATAATCAAAACAATAAATATATAACTTCAAGTATCTTTTGAACCACTGGGAAGGGCGTGCCTTTCCCACAGGCAGCACTAAATGCAAATGCCTTTTTGTTATGCACGCACCCCTTTCCTTGAGGGGATTCTTGGATTACTTAAGGGAGGTTTGGCTTACGCTCCATGTTTTGTAGATATTTTGAAGTCAGGTGTGCATCTTTTGATCTTGGATTTGTCTTTGATAATTTGATGTCTTTATTGATTGTTTATGAATTGACTGAATGAATTGGCATAATACATATTTATCTGACTAATAAATTGTTATGTTTTGAATTATTCAAACAGTCCTCGTGTTATTATCACTGGTAAATGTTGTTGTCCATTGCACTACAAGCCACTGTACAGGTTAGTAAAGGACTAAAACATGTTAGACGGAGCAGCGTGGCACGCTATACGATGTTGTTAGAGATCCGACTAACAAATTGGCATTAATTCAAGTATACTTAGACTGTAAAAGGCCAACTATGGGTTTTCTATTTAGAACAACAAAATATTGTTGAAACAAATCTAAATGTGAGTATTTAGTCCTTCATCTACAAACTTATAATCCTGTGCGATTATTATTAAAATACTTTGTCTTGATTTAGTAGATAACAGATCTATGGGGACCACATAAAAATCTCCTAAAATGAGTAAAGGAGGGTTCTGCCTTTTTAGGAGAGTGGTTAATCGCCTCTGTTTAATGACCAAGACTGACAAGCTTGTATTAAGAGATTGTATACCCAGCTGGTGCAAGACTCAGGATGCTATAGGAATCTGAATAAATAAGAATAAGGTATAATAACAAATCGAAAGAATATTCAATCATAATCTAAAATAATGTGAAAGGAAACAAAATAACTTTTTCAATGTTTTATAATTGGAGTCAGATAAAACGAGGATAATCTAAACCACCTCATACTAAAATTGGAGTCAGATATGAGTTAAGTTTAATATAAATCAACATTGTGCACTGGAAAGACCGAACATGCAGTGAACTTTCATCCACCAGTGGACTCCGTCATTGGACCAACTGTCTGGACCCTACAATGATTTCTATTCATGTAGGAATTCAAACTTTCCCCGTTTGGCAAAAATCACCTTTTATCATATATAGAAAACAGCTCCTCTTTTTTTAATTATTTGTATTATTAATTATTATTATTAATTATTAATAATTATTCTTTAATTATTTAATTACCACAATCCAGTCATTAAGACACTAACAATAAGTTTAATTAATAAATGTGATGTAAGTGAAATAAATATATGAATTTGGTTTACTGAGAAATGCATAGGCTGTGTTGATCTAATACACAAACTGAAAAACAATTACACCAAAGAACACTAAGACGATTCTTTAAAACTTGAATATTATTTGTACATTTTACATTCATAGTTTAGCCTTAACGTTGCTTATTTTTAAGCTAAAGACATGCCTTTTACACACGTTTCTTCAGCTATAGTAGAGAAATGTGTGCTTTCAACTGGTGAACAGTTGGGTGTAAGAGCATTATAAAAAGGTTAAAACATGATAAAAATTGATATTTTAAATATAATAAGAATTCGTTGTGATTGTATTATCTAAAATGCATAATTTAATAATTGATACAATTTAAAAACATTTACTTTGGTATTTTGATTTTCGACAGCAATACGTCATGAGGTCATTAGTTCATACGTTTAAGTCAGATTGCAGTTATGGATGTTGGAAGCTACACAGTTTTTTGACCGAGCTATATTTTTGTTTGCATTTCTTCAGTAAACCTTTTTTAAAAGAAGATTCAGTCTTACTCGCGTTTTTGCAAATACTGGTTGTTGGAATAGAAGCTGCAAAAGGTGGTACATAAGGAATTGCACGAAAGGTGTGCCACAACAGTTGGGTGATTGTTAACAGTAAATGCAGCCTGTGATATCTTGTCATGTTAGATATCTACTATGAAACTAATGTTTAGTTCATTTCATTATTCCAAATTTCAGTATGAGAAGTCAGTGTGAATATATATACACAGATATAGAAAAAAAAAACTGATTTCAAATACCAATACGATTATTTACGCTAAGTAAATTACTCTAATACCTTTGGGTAGATTATCATCATGGGTTTTAGCAGCACTGAAAGCTTTTGTGTTGTAATATGAAATCCAGATATTAATCTTTTAAGCCACTTACATACCTAAATGATAAAAGCAATGCTGTTAGGTAAAATACAGAGACATGTAATCAGAATACACATTCAGATTTACTTAAATTCATCCTTATTTATAATCGTACATTCATATAAACTATTTTGTTTCTGTCTTTTAGTCTTTTGTCATGAATCCATTAAGTGCTCAGACCGGTATTAAAACACCTCTTGTACACACACACACCTGCAGTTAGTTGATCCATATAACTGGCTGTCCTAGTTCAACGAGACTGTCCTTTGTCTGCACATCTCTTGACAGGTCACAATGCCAACAATGTCACTAAATGGGACATGCATGTGTATCCTAACTCTTATAAAGTCATCAGACCATATTACAGTGGATAACACCATGTTGTACATTCAGAGGATGTGCTGCTAATTGTCCAGAGGACTTAATCCT